GGTCCAAATCTGGGAAATTTCTGTCAAATTATCATTTTATCTCTAGTGGGGATTTTACCTAAATTTCAGAATTTTCACCCAATCAATCCTCTCGTTAAACATTTACCTTTAATCAGTGTCATTTAATTATGTGGGGGCATTATACACATATTTTAAACCCTAATCTCCTGTATTTTTAGTGTGCACACACCATTTCATAAATTTCACTAGCTAGCAAATTCTATATTGATCATGATCCTCTTGAATTGAGCAAATCTTAATTACATTTCCAAATCAAATGTACAAGCTTGCATGCATGAGAATTACTCACGCTTCCTATAAACTTATTGGTAACAAATTTCACTACTTAGCAGCACATGTTATAATTATTGCTTTATAAATAACTTGTTAAACATGAAATGACAACTTTACCGCCATTCATCAACGTGTCAAGCACCACACCAAATGAATATTCAATAGTTTTTTTTTTTAAATTTGGAATTCACCGTCAGAAGCCCTGAGGATGGGACCCAACGAGATGACTCAAAATTCCACCTGGTAAACTTCGCTCTCTTCCCCGTTATTGTTACGTCGCAATGGCAACATAACGTCCGTAACATTAGAATAGGTTGTCTCTCAACATTAATGCTAATAAATTTTTTTACTTACCCTTATTTACTAATAAATTTTCAATTAAACCTTAATTTGGTTTAAAAAATAAAAACAAATCATAGTTTTTTATCACCAAATTCATAAATATGGAAACTCACTCTAGCTGGCAAAGAAATATGGAGAGCCACCGGATTGCAGGGCCAATTATATAACATCATATTGGGCTGACAAGTGAAATAAGGAGTGGGGGATGGCAGTTTGTGGCATTCAGCTACTTCTATTTTGGTGGCTCATGTTGCTTCTGGGTCATGAACTGTGTTGCTGAGGTGGGTGTTTCTGGGAGACTTTCATACAGGTAGAGTATTAATGAATCAATTCTACCCAGATGACCTCTTTCACACTCGGGAATTGCTTATTGGCTACCAAAATAAAAATAAAAATAAAACAAAAGAGAGTTATCATTACTACAAGGTAAGACGACTAAGGAACTGCTATTCGCTGTGTGATTTTTCCAATCAATAATAGATTTGTTCTACATGAGTATTGTCCTATGGCCAATCTTTAGAGGTTCATTTAAACGGTTATTTTTCTGTCTCATTGAAGTTAGATTTTTATGGGAGATGTGCTTGACTCTTATATTGCAATGAGATCCATTAGATAAAACGGTTATAACTCTCTCATCCTTAGGAAATATTTTCCTCCTATGTTTAAGAGGCGTCTTGCCTTTTATATTTTACGAGTTATTATTTTTGTTTTTGGTAAAATTTTATGATTTATTATTATGCTATAGAACCACTATCCCCTTTCTCTATCCTTTTATCTTAGTCTAGGGTGAGATATGACTCCTCCATATAGTTGTGGACTGGTCCATACCACTCTGTCTAATAGTATTATTACGTGGAAATACTTCACCACATCATGGAAACATACCTAAGCCCATCCCTGAACCGTTTAGGTAATGTTTGGTAGAGGTTTTTTTAGAAGATACATAGGCATCAGAAATAGGTGTTCTTTGTTGCCCACGTTTGGTTCAAAATATTGCAAGATTTTGGCATGAAACACATTTCCCCATGCTTTGACATTTGTGTGTAAAATGCAACAAAAATCACTTTTCAATAAAACCACTTCAATGTGGTATTGTGAGTCAGATGGCTAAATGGATAAAAGACAACAAAAAAACTGACCATAATATCCTCTTCTTCAATCTGTTATAATGCCGTCATGTCTCAATCATCATCACACTTCAAATTTCAGTCATGGCCCCATGTTTGGTTCAAAAAATTTAAAGAGTTATTTTTGTCATTTCAACTATTTTTTCCATCAATATTTTACATTTAACCAAATATGGACTCTGAAAATTTAAATAAATTTGCCTGGTAATATTTTGGTCAACCAAACAACTTTTTTTAAACTTTTCTATCTAACTTACTTCCTTATCGTATTTCTAGTAATTGAATTTTTTCGGTAAAAAAAAATTTCTCCTCTACCAAACGCTTATCAGTTTTAAATGCAGCTTATTTTTTATTCGAATATTGTAAATCTCTTTACATTTAAACAACTAATCACGGATTTTAGTCATACAAACAGTCTTGCGCATGAGGATCAAGTTGCATATATCTTTTTCGGTGTATTTCAGGAATGTTTGGACAAGCTTTAAAAAAAAACTGCTTTCTATACCTTGCTTTATTCTAGATGTACTTTTTTCAAATGTTAAAGCTATTTAAATTTCAAAAAAAAATATTTGATTTTTGAAAGAAATTTTTAATTTTTAATTTCTGCTTTTTTTTTTAGAAATTAAAATATTTTTTTAAAAAAAAAAAAACAAATTTTTGATTTTTTTAAGACTTATACTTATTTTAAAAGCAGATATTCAAATAGACATTTTTTCACAAGTGTTTTTTTTTTTTTTTGAAAAAAAATAACTTTAGAAAGAGAAAAAATTCATCTCAAACGGACCTAAGACGGAATCAAAGAGTAAAGGAATATACTTTTTAACTAAAAAAATTTTTGGAGATTTTTTTAACTAGATGAATGATCATCAACTACATGTTCAATCAGCCACGGATCCAAAAAATTTTATGAGGGGGTAAAATAATATTTATTCTAAAATTCATAATCTTTTGTCATCAAAAGGCATTGGATTCTCAAATTATCAAAAATTCACCTGGACTAGCAGTCCATTATATTTATAAAACTATCAACAAAGTAAGAATATATATTAAAATGAAATTTTGAGGAGAGCCAAAGCACACGTTATCTCCCTTCGGTCAACCCCAGAACTACAGCACAACACTTCCATCGGAGCCTAAAAGAGAACATTGGACGCTACTCCCCTTATCAATCATAATGCAAAACTCTTTATTATATATATATATATATATATATATATATATATATATATATATATAATAAAGTAGCTTTAAGAAGAATTGATGTGGGTCTTCTAATGAGTGAGAAGGATGCATTTTATCAAATGCATTATTTGAACCACTCTTTTGAGATAAGATGAGTCATAAAAGCTAATGTTCCACAAGTAAATATCTCCACTAGTTGTTTAGTAAAGTGGCTTTTCTCTCGTAAAAAGCAAGGCCTCGAATCAAGGCTTTAACATAGATACGAACTTTGGCTAAATCGAAAAGATTAATTGCATGAAATAAAGATAGAGAAAAGAGATAAAGCAAAAGCACATGCGATAAAAGGATTGCAAGTCTTGCCTTGTAAGAACTGCACTTCAAAGCATTTACCAACAATGACTTGCTCAGCCAATTAAAGAATAAAGAAAAGAGTTAACGACTTGACCAAAGTAAAAGAGAATCCCCACATGCTCAAATCGAAAAGACAAGTTTCGCACAGAAAATATGCTTGTCCAAAATATATGCACAATAAAATCATTCAAAGAAAGGTTACGATTAATTAAAATATGAGATAAGATATTGTGACAACCAAATAATGTTACTAGCTATGTTACTACCACATCTTAACCGTTAATTTCTGCCCATCAATGGTTATTATTTTTTAAATCAAACTCATTAATTAATTATTAATTCGCAATAAATGATAACCGTTGATTGGCAAAAATCAAAGTTTAAGATGTGGTAGTAACATTATTTGGTTGTCACAATATCCTATCCCTTAAAATATTATCTTTTTTTTTTGGAGTTACCCAACCCTAATTATCTCTTTGAGACGAGTTGGCTCCCTCCGGTATCCCCACGAGCTTCGACTCTTTGAGCCGGCTATGGGACTAATCCGGAGTGCGGGGGAACAGTGATGGCTAAAGGTTCAGCCCCCTCCCCAAGAATGCATTCAGCGGGAATCGAACACATATCCAACCCCACTAACTCAGCGCCAAGTTACCAACTGAGCTGCTGCACCCATTGGGTTAAAATATTATCTAATTTTATAAAATTATGTGACTTGTAAATTTGTAATGTAAATTTATGCAAGTATTATTACACTTTCTTTATATTTTTACCCTTGAAATTGAAAAATATTTTCAACTTAATTTTTAAACTGTTACTATTTTTCCAAATTGGAAATAGAATCAAAATCAGAAGCCAACTCTTCCGTGTCGTCTCTGAAACCAGCCTTGCCTTAAAAATTATTTGTCCATACAAGAGAATTGAGTCATGCTACCGCAATCTGATAGTAACACGCTTAATGATCTTTGTTTTATTCCTGTAGATTTTATTTCTCATGGCATAAATTTATTTTTAGTGTCACGTGTTAAGAGGATGCACGGTTCGGTTCAGCTTGATTTTTTTTTTACTGAACCAAATCAATCCTGAAAAGTGGTACTCCAGCAAATCGAACCGATTTCAAAATTTAATTCGGTTTTTATACTGATTCCGAAAAAATAATTCAGTTCATAAATCTGTTCAAAAAAATATAATTCACTTCGGTTTTGGTTCAACATTCAGTTCAATTCATTTGATTTTCTTACACTCAAAAGTGAATATGTTTTGATTCGGTTTTTATCCCGAACATAACCAGATTGGTAAAGTAATTTGTTTTGAAAACCGAACTGATTATGAAAAACTAATTTGATTGTTTAACCAATTTGAAGAAAATGATTTAATTTTTAAACCAATTAAAAATATATAATTCTTTTGTTACAGTTCAATTCATTTGATTTTTTTTTCCAACCGTACCTGTTATATCTTAATTGAATTGGTATAAGATTATCTGAGGAGAACCACAACAAGAAGAACAAGAATTTCATCAAGATATGAGTTACATACAATAACAATCACTAAATTTTCATTTTACAATACCTTAAAATGAAGAGTGATGCAGTGATCACTGTCTATTATTGTTGCAACTTCAAGAATCATCAATTTAAGAGAGCATAACTCAAAAATAGATTTAAGTACACCATTAAAATGGAATTACACAATTGATACCACAAACTAATGCAACTTGCAAAACAGATTTTCTGCATGTTGAACCAAAAGCCAGCAATATGCACAAGATTATCAGACTGAAGTTGTCAATCCAAAACTTGAAGCTAGAAACTCTTCACATGCTCTCTTGGAATGCATAAGCACGAGAAATAGCTGCAGGGTTAGCTTTCAAGACTTGAGACACACCCAATACACGGTCTTTGCCTTCTCCTTTAGGTTCATTTATTTTGGAAATACCATCTTGTGATATAGATTGTTGCTTGAAACCTAATGTAGCCCATATAGGACTTTTTGAGGCCTCATTTGGATCATCAATTCTAAGGGTCTTTGGAACCAAAACACACATCTCTGACTTCTCTTCATCTGTGAAAATAGTATCTCTATTGTGTTTGCCAAGTGTTGGGGAGCCATTATTGCCTGAACAGCAGCTGTTACTAGTAGAAGAAGAAGGTGAAAGGCAACCATTGGAACCTATTGAAACTGTTCCTGTTGCATTAGTCCACACTTGTGTTCCACTCCAATATGATCCAGGAAAAATTTGCAATGGAATGCTTGGTGGGCAAATGGTTGGAACTGCCACCATTGGTGTGGGACACCACTGCATTGCACCAGGATCAGTGATATAAGGGTTACTACACATGTTCAGTGAAGATTGATGAACATTGTTCCAACCTGGATTCCAAGGAAATACCCAAGGAGGAACAGGGTAACACTGCAAAGGTTTTGATGTATTATGTTCTGATAGTTCATTTCCTTGAGTAAAAGCATTTGTCACAGAAGATCCACACAAGGATACCTCTTCCTCCCCATTTTCCGCGCAATTTATAGAGCTTGCATCAACACTTCTTTTCTGGTCTCCAAGATTAAGCATTGACTCCATGGATTTACTAAGAGGGGTATCCGGACCGAATTTCAAAACAGTACCATTATCTGTTGAAGACCTGAAAACAGAAGCAGATTGGGTTGAGACAAATTGGTGACAAGATGAGTCTTTGGTTTCTAACATGGTTGTTGGATTTCCATCAGAAGCTACAATGACATGCCGGTATTGAGAAACTAGGTGCTTATTCTTCCGTCTCCCAGCACCCACAGGAACACTTCTCATTGTTCCACCAGCAGTCCAATACCTTTGGCAATTCTTGCAGAAATGCCGAGGTTGATTGACATTGTAGTTGTTGAAATAACAAAATTTAGTGTCCAAACTGTTGCATCTTGGACAATGAAGAATCTTGTCTGGTTTCTTAAAGATTTTATCTTGATCTGTGCTGCTACTCTCCATATTATCTTCCACAAGCTTGGTATTAACTTCAGAATCATTTTCTTGCACATTATGTTGGGACTCATGTTTCCTATCCTTTGAATCAGAAGAATTCTCTGGTTGCTCAGAGTTTTGAGTAGGAGGCTTTTCATCTTCTGTTTTCTTTAAGCTACTGCGAGCATTCTAAATTTAAACCATAATTAGTGACAAGTCAAGAAGAATAATGTTTGACAACACACATGAGAAGTTGAGAATAGACAACAAACAAAATCAAGGAACAAAAATATCATGTTGTATTCATTTTCCAACAAAAACGATAAAATACCACATAGCAGGTAATCATTAGAACTTTAATCTCCTTTAACAATGCAGCAATTTCTTAAGTCCTGACCTTTACTTCTTTAGTATAACCATGTCCAGTTTCTATATTACTAATCTGTCTCAATGTCAGTTTATATCACCAACCAACCATATCATATTCATGAAAAACGAATTTATCTACGATTGATTAAGCATTGAACTAAATATATACTTGAATTGATAAACAATAAAACATTTTAAAAGGGATGAATTGTATAACTGCCTTGAAAAATCACAAGAAAGAGCAGCTAGCAGCTTTTGGATTTAACTGATAGTAGTCTTCTTTTTTATTGTATTAAAGAATTGCCAAGACAAGGAAGTGTACAAACTGAATTCTTTTCATACAAACTGCTGAAGAACTGATAAGTAAAACATAAATAAATAAATAAATACAATGAAGAATACACATTAAGCCATGAGTTATATAAGGGATTACAAAAACTAACTTTATGAAGTATTTATCTCAGTTATCAACAGTTTTTGTCAAAAGATGGAAAACAATTGATTGGTTAATAATCAATGCCATTATAATTCCAAATTGGTTTTGCCATAATCTTGAAATGCCTCCCAATCAAAATGAAACATGTTATATTTATTTTTATTTTTATTTCTTTTCATTAGTATAGCCTGCTTCCACAGATACAGAAAAAGTACCAGATAAATGAAGCAGAACCTATTTCATTCAGAAACAATGCTACACTTTGAAGAAAGAAACCAAATATTAGATATATTTTACTGTTAAAAACCAACTACTTACAGAAGACAACTTCACCAACCTTGGCATCAATTTAAAACACTAACACACACATGTATATATGAGAAAAATATAGAGATATAAGATCGGCCTTAGTTTACATGAATCTGAAGGTGAATCATATACATATCCTTAATTTTGTAACCAACTTACATGTTAAAAAAGAAATTGATTAAGAAAAAATACTCTTTATATTTCAGAATATTTTGAAGCTTGAAATTAATTATAGTAACCAGCTAAAACATAGGAAAAGGCGTGACTTGAAAAAATAAAATAAAATTCCATGGAACGAAGACTATTTCACTGCAAGAAATGAAAGCCAAAAGAGATAAATGGTTATTGGGTATGACTAATATATAACAAGTACCATGGTTGCAGAATTGGCCTGAATCTGACAACCCATCTGAGAGCTCGCCGGAATCTGACATTCCGGCAACGGAATATTCCTTCCAAAGAGCCTGATACCCGGATCCTTGTCAGACACGTCCCCTCCACAACTCATTTTTATGCTTTTGTGTTATTGTTGTTGGTGTTGCTATTGTTGTTGCTAAAGACTGTGAAGCTCCTTAGCATCTCCAAGAGAAATAGATTATAGATAGATAGATAGATAGATAGATAGAGATATATAGAGAGAGAGAATAATATGAAGAAGCTTTTGTCTTCACAGAACTTTTAAAGGGTGAAACTTTGCACTAAAAAACCCACAAAACCCTCCGAGGAAAAGTCACCCTGCAAAAAGCACAAAGAACATGAGGCATCAGAGACACTGTACCGTCCTTTTAAGCTTTTGTTCTCTTTCATTTCTCTTTTCTCTTTTTCTTTTTTTCAAGCCCTTTTCAATTTGATTTTTTTTTTATAAAAAAATCTTAAGGATCCGTTTGGTACGCGAGATTCTTGGGAATTCTTAGAAAACTAAATTTTTCTAAATTTTTAATTTTAGATATTATTCTAAACTGAATATAAAAATTATATTTTCAAAAATTGAGATTTCAGAATAAAAAAAAAATTATCTTCCAGCAAACGTCATTTCTAAGAAAAAAAAGTGTTTTGTTATCCATTTTCTTTTTCTAATGTTTATGGGAAAATGTATTGGACCGTAGACGATAGAAAAAAATTAAATCCCTTCCCTTTTCGATTTATTTTTAATGTGAATAAGAGAATAGAACTTACTTTTTTTCATGTTTATTTATTTATTTATTTTTAATATTGTCGGATCAAAATTTCATTTTTTTTTTTAAAATTCTAATTTAATAATATTAAAGATGAATATGTAAAATAGACATAATAATTAAATGTCTAATCTTGATTTGTGTACCTCATTTGACTCTAACATGGGAAAGTGGTGTTTCTTTGTTAATATAATATGAGTTAGTTTCTAATTCACAACATTGACATCGTATGGAGAAATTTACATGACCCCGAATTAAAATCAAAACTATATTCTTATAATTATAATTATAATTATGATATGATTAATAATATTAAAGAAATTGGTCCCAAGAGGGAAATAGAGAAAAGGCTGGGGTGGAGACAGGTGGCAGATGAATCAGCAAAGGGATGAATCAGAGCCAAGAGATATAGTGGCTAAGATGTGAATGACGTGAGAGAGAGAGAGAAGTAGGACCCACCATGGAAAAAAAGGGCAAAAAGTGATGCCGACTTCAACTAGAGGTGGGGGGGACTCGCTTTTTACGCCGCCATCAATGTCTTTGCCAGTTTGCTCAACCCATTGGGTCCTACTTTTCCTCCTTTTTACCCTTTCTCTCTTTTGTTTTTCTCTCCCTTTTAAGTTTGCAAAAGAAGCATATGACTTTGGAATGGAGAAAAGAAGCCAAATGGGTCATTGTTACGAACTTTTCAACGACAATTCCTTAATTGCAATTTGCCAGCGGGTCGGTCATTCGGCAAGTGGTGTCTTTTAGTGTTGGTGTTGATGTTTCTGTTTATTGTTTGTTAGTCTTGGTGTTGCTTCATTCTCACTTGGCAAGTGTGTCTTTGGTACGTACCATTAAGGACCCTATTTGTGTCGCAACTTGCAAATTAAGGTTCCATGATTCTATTACATTATTCTTTTGTTAATAATGGCACGATTTGCAACTTGGAAGTTCATTCTTTACATATTGAATTTGGGGAAGGGGGAACGTATGATATTTGGCTTTGAAATATGTTGGGCAATTCAGTTTGTTTCCATTAGCTTAGATTTGGATTTGGATTACCATTCCTAAGTACGTGAGTTTGTATCGTAGTAAAAGTTTTTGTGTCTTCCCCGTTAAAGAAAACATTTTCTTTTAAGAAGCTTATCTAGCATCCAGGGCATGTTTGATGTATAGTATTAGATAAAGTCTGATAGTATAAGACTTGATTATATAAAAAATGACTAAATTTTAATGCTATAAGATAATATCTGCTAATATTTTAAAAATTAATATATTAAAAAAATTATTTTAATATATTAATATTCAAATGATATAATAGTTCTTGAAAATTGTACTTGTAAACAATATTAATACATCAACCCCTTATCAGGTCTAATCCCTCTCCCTTAGGCCGGATTAAGTTATACATCGTTTTGATTAGTAGCGTTCAAAATGTCCAAAAGAACCAAATCGATCTATAACCAAACTGCTCCACATTTAAAAACCGATTATTTTTAAAAAACGGTTTCATATGAAACATCATTTTATTTTATAAACTGGATATTTACCAAACCAAAAAAATAATTGGTTATCCATAATTATCCATAACCATACTATTTTACAATTAAAGAACAAATAAGTATTATCTTTTATGCTCAACATTAAAAAGTGAAAATTACATAAATATGAATCATTTTTAAATGTGACATTATTAAAAAAGTCTCAAATACTAACAAAATTTATCGAAAATTTTGAGAAAAATCATATTACTTAGAAAATAGAGGCAAAAAAAATTTCGTCGAAACTAGAGACGAAACAAGATTTTTTTCATAATCACTGACATAAATTTTTGAGGGACAAAATATTTCAGTCAAAATTCTTGATAGAATCTAAATTCTGTCAAAATTTTCAACGTCAATAATTCTGTAAAATTCTTTGACGAAACACATTTTAATAAAAAAAGTTGACAGAAAATAATTTCGTCAAATTTTTACGGAAAATATTTCCGTCAAAATTTTTGACGAAAAATATTTCCAACAAAATTTTCAACAAAACACATTTACAGCGAAAATTTTGACGAAAAATATTTCTGAAAATTTTTTTGATGGAAAATATTTCTATAAAAAATTTCGACGGAAATTTTTTTTTGTCAAAGTTCTTTACAGAATCTAAATTTCCTCCAATCATTTCTCTCAAATATTTTGACGAAAAATATTTTTATAAAACATTTTGACGAAAAACATTTTTGTCAAAAAATTTTATCGAAATATTGTTCGTTATAAAATTTTTACGAAAATTTTTTTCGATGAAAATGTGTTTCATTAAAAATTTTGACAAAAAAATTTTGTCAGAAAGTTTAACGAAAATGTTTCCGTCGAAAACTTTCGACGGAATTTGAATTCCGTAAAGAATTTTGATGAATTTTTATCCATCAAAAGTTTTCGAAGGAAATGTGTCTTGTGAAAATTTTAATAGAAATATTTTTTCGTCAAAAATTTCGATGAATATTTTTTTTGTGAAATATTTTGAGGGAAATATTTTGAAATTTATATTCCGTAAAAAAATTCGACAAAAAAATTTTTTCGTCAAACTTTTTTACAGATATGTTTTTTAGTCACAAATTTTGATGAAAATATTTTTCGTCAAAATTTTTTGCAAAAAATTTTGATGGAAATGATTTTCGTAAAAACAACGTGAACAATTTCTATAAGAATCATTTCGTCCTGAGAGTTCCAAGACAATGAAGATTCTTGCAAGAAATAGTTGGTCAACTACCTATAACCAGGAGAAACAAACGACTACTTATAAAAATAGCACAATCCATCAAAAATTGATTTTGAATTTGTTAAAAAATCGGTTTTGAATTTGATAACCGGTTTATAGTTCATAACCGGTTTTGATTTAAAACCGGTTTAAACCGGTTATAAACCACAAACCGGTTTGGACAAATTAAAAACCGGTTATTTTAAAAAAGTGGTTCAGTTTAAAATCCAAACCGATTAAAACTGGTTTGGTTTGGTTTTTGACAATAACCAAACCGAACCGCTCCATGCACACCCCTAGTTTTGATGTAATAAGGGGTCCTGCTGTATAAGCTTATACTATACGATGGTCACACCAAACAACTAAAAATGTCATAACGTATAGTATAAGCTTATACTATCAGGTCTTATACATTACACCAAACAGGCCCTTAGTTAATATCCAATATCTATAAAAGAATAACTCATTGTTATAAGTCAATACCTATTATTAGGAAATATATTTTATGCTCCAGTACCATCCAATAATTTGGTACTTTGTCTCACACCACCAATTTTTCTTTTCTTTTCTACCCCTGCTATTTTTCCTCTTTTCCAATTTTATCCTCCCATTTACACTAAGGGACCACCTAAAAATGGTGGTCCCGGACCATAATAAATTCTCTCCTATTATTAGCTCAGATCAGTGGCAGATCTAGAAAATCATGTAACGGACGCGAAAATTTATTTCACTGTTATGAAAAAGCAATACTAATTTTGGTTTAAATAATCATGCTAAGAATGCAAAAATGTCTACTATGAAAAATCTAATAAAATTACAGAATTATTTTAGACATAAAAAAGTTTGCTATAATTTTTGTAAAATTTTCATAAAATGCAATACTAATTTTTTTGTCTTCGGTGACAATGATCTAATGAGAAGCTAGCATTGGGTCGTACTTCGAGAACAAAGTGGGTGGAGGAGGTTGTGTAGAGATATCTTATAAGTATCTAAAAAAAATTACAGTATTTAATATATTTGAGTTATGTATATTTCAATCATCTTAACATGGCTTAAAGGAAACTCTAGAGTTAATATAAAGTTATCGGGCTCCATATTTAAATGGTAGACAATAATTGACTTGGTATAGCAAAAAATACTAGGCATGCAAAAATAATCATATCAATATTGTTTATGGTGCTAATTTAGAAAACTTTGAACAAAATTACATAAATAAGCATTAAATGAATAGACAAAACTAGGTGTGTTTGCAATATGAATTGGATCGGTTTTGGAAGCAAAAATATCTGATCCAAACCTTTCGGTTTGATTATATAATCATCCATTCGGTTTAGATTTTTTTTAAATCCGATCTTATCCAATCCAATTTTTTTCGATTTGGACTGGATCGGTTTTCGGTTTTTTGAAAAGTCTAAAATTTGTATGATAATTATTGTGCAAATAACATATCTTTTGTATATACTGACTTTGTAAAGTTTGTATAATGATTACTGTGCAATCTAGAAGTATTAGTAAACGATAATCTAATTTTTAATATAGTACTACAAAAAGTTGAAACCGGATAAACTCGATTTCAAGTATCTATCACCTATTGGATAAGAAGAAAAATTAGACAATAACAAAGCAAGAAAAATTAATCTCAATTACTAATACAGAGAGATCTTAAAACAAGTTTTTATTTTAGATTTTGGCACATAAGTTTTATAGTAATAACACATTCACGTGACAATTATAAAACAAAATAAAAATAAATTCTTAACTCAATTCAAATGCTATATATACGTAACAAAAAATTTATACTTTTGAAGTATCCTATCCAAATGTTGAAATCACAATGACAATAGTAACGAAAACATGCTAGAATGTACCAATAAATTTTCTTGGGTTTAGTTGATGGATTAATGGGTCTTGGGTTTATATTTTTTGTACTATGATTGGAGATTAGGACCAAGTAGGTAGAAGGGATTAATATATTGGGTTAGTTTGGATTAGATCAATTTTTACCAACCAAATCGAAATTGATCAATTCCAATTAAAATTTGTGATTTTTTTTCGGTTTGATCACCGCAGTTTGAATCAGTTTGGATCGGTTGATGAATACCCCTGGACAAAACAATAGATACATAAGTTCAAACTCGAATAGCTATAGTTATTGCTTCATAGCTTTAGGATACCACTTCCAGCTTCAAGTCTCTTCAGTCTGCTTCATATATGCTTCAAATCTTAACTTACCCAAACTATCATTTTTATATATACTATTTTTCCCCAGATTTTAGGGGGTGCGGGGGTCACCCTTAGCCCCCCGTGTAGGTCCTCCCTTGGCTCAGGTGATCATCTCTTACATTTAACCATTCAAATGTATTAATAATGTGAGACGTTAGATGTAATTGTGATCAACCATACATTAAGATAAAACTTAAGACTTATTATTTTTGTATCGGTAAAAAAATGCACCTTTTTTATGAAAAAGAAATTTTACATCAAATATATGTACATCATTATTATAAGAAATCTTATATCAAGTATTGGTCATTGATTTACTTGCATCTAATGGTTCACATATATAATAAATTAGAGTCGTTAGATATAAATAAAATTAACAGTTATAATTAAGAGTATAACTTACAGCAGTGTAAAATAATATTGACCCATATATAGAGATCTTTTAACTTAAGTATAAGATTTAAAATCTTACTCTCGATATTAACTCTCCCTTGTTCTAAAATCTAAAGGTCCCAATTTGTTTGGGTCAGTGGGCACGTGATCCCTTTTCCCCAATTCCTTTTCTCTCTTTCTCTTTCTCTTTTTTATTTTATTTTTAAATAACCTCTCATTTCTCACCGTTTTGTTGTAGGACCTTTCTTTTCTAATTCATACCCCTTGGGATCAGAAGTCTTGTTTCTCTCCTCACTGGTATTAGTCATCAAAGAATATGTTAATCACCACGGGAAACAAATATTTTCGTGCACCCACTGCCACAAACCCATTGAGCTCTTCCCCTTCAATTTATCCACTGAGATGTTTACTTCAACCCTTTTTGCCTTGGCAATGGATCCACCTTAATTGAGAATATGATCACTCCACCTTAAATGAGGCACTCATAGGTGGTGTTTTTTTATTACTGATATTCTCTTACATTTTCAAATTTTTTTCTACCAATCACTTTTAGAATTCGAACATTTTATGGTCATTTTTTTCCCCCCGTTAAAATTTGAAGTTCATGAAAACAAATTTTTGTTTAAGTGTCGCTTTTTTCTTACGTTGTTGTAAAAAAAAAAAAATTGCAGCAACCAATTATAATTATGTATTTTTGGAAATACATAATTATAATTTTAAAGTTATTTTTTTCTTTATATTCGAAAGTTGTCTACTGATGTGGAGAAAGAGAAAAGAATAATAATTTTTTGATTATAACTATGTATTTCCAAAAATATATAGTTATAATTAGCCTAAATGATTACAATCCCAGTTTCACATCTTTCTCATGTTTATTTTTTATTGCATCTTTACATACATTTCTATAGCTTGGAAGAAGCATTTTGTAGTTTGGTATTTTTTTTTTTTTTTTTAGTTTTCGTGAAGATTGAATTCCTTATTGCAAACTCTTGCTTAAGTAAAATTTTATTTATTTTAGAAGGGACTGACTTTTAGACTAAGTGGTTTTTTAATGACATATAAATTTGTTGTTGGTTTTTTAATGACATATAAGTTTGTTAATGGTTTAAAACATAAGTTTCAACCAATTGAAAGCCATGATAGTGTTTCACTTGTATTGGTAAATAGGGGCAATTGACTAATCTTTTAGAGCAAAAGGTAGAACCTCAGATACCCCGACACGCAACTTTTTGGAAAAATGCGTGTCGGGCACGTGTTCGACACGGACATGTTCCGACACGCGATCAATATTTTGGGACACGCGGTCAACTCTCTGACACGTTCCGACACACAGTCAACTCTTCTCGACAATGCAGTCAATGTTCCGACACGCATCCGACACGTGTCCAACACGTTTTTTTTTACTCTTAATTTTATTTTACTAACGAAACATAAAAAAAAAAATTATAAATCAATTTTTTTTGTTATGAAATTTCATATTAAAAATTAACAAGATACGAAAAATTATTTTTATTTATATGAAATTTGACTATTTGATTGGTTATATGACTTATTATGAACTGTTATATGTGTAACGCCTGGCAACTTCAAGAATCAATGACTATCCCCACATACTAACACGAGACTTTTTTGTGTGCTTTTTTCTCACTCGCACACTTCCCGGGAAAACTTCCCAGGAGGTCACCCATCCCATAATTGCTCCAAGTCAAGCACGCTTAACTGTGGAGTTCTTCCGATCCGGGCTACCGAAAAACAGATGCATCTTGTTAGTATAGGTAGTACCAATTAATTCTTATAAGCCATTCCCAACTGTACCATCCCATACCAGCACAATCTCTGGAATTCCTCTTTTTCCAGTGTTATTCGATTCATGCATGTACCTCCACCGCTGGAAGCCTGTCAGGAGCCGCTCCTTGTCTGTGCCCTTGCGCACCGGCGATCACTCCCCGCCCTCATCAGCGCCCGGGATGTTACATGCCCACTAGCTTCCGACTGGTTCGTCCTCGAACCACACCGTACTGGAAGAGAGGCCTGCTCTGATACCACTTGTAACGCCTGGCAACTTCAAGAATCAATGACTATCCCCACATACTAACACGAGACTTTTCAGTGTGTTTTTTCTCACTCGCACACTTCCTGGGAAAACTTCCCAGGAGGTCACCCATCGTCTTGGTTTACTGACTAAGCTTACCTAACTATAGTTACTAGAATTTCTCAACCATACTTAATACTTACTTGAATCTCTTACTGATACCTCAAAGAATCAAATCTTAAAGTTATACCTCAGACATTAAATAATTATTCCTTTTCCCGATTAATCATCCGGTCAAAAAATTCAAATACTGATACCAATAAAATACTTATCGAAATATCAAATCTTAATATCTAACAACAAAATAGTATTTCTCAATACAAAAAGAAAAAGAACAAAAATATTTGTATAATGTATCCTTATTAAAACCATACATAACATATCTGTACATAACTGTGTTGAGGAAACTTCCAAGAGAGTCCCCTAAGGTCTATGTCTCATAGGTATAAACCCCTAAGAAAGTAACCTTACATAATATAACAAAAGACTCCCAAAATAATTGTCCAATCATATAGAACTAAGTGCCTCATTAACACAATTTATAATTTTATTGTACATCAGTCCTTGCACTAATGATAAAATTCAGAATTTTTCGTATATCAGTCCTTGCATTGATCATACAATACACAATTTATTGTACATCAGTTCTTGCACTAAAGATACAATTCACAATTTTCCGTATATCAGTCCTTGCATTGATAATGCAATACACAAATTTATTGTACATCAGTCCTTGCACTGATGATACAATTCACATTTTTTCGTATATCAGTCCTTGCATTGATAATGCAATACACAACTTTATTGTACATCAGTCCTTGCACTGATGATACAATTCACAACTTTATTGTACATCAGTCCTTGCACTGATAATACAATACACCATTTTATTGTATATCAGTCCTTGCACTGATAATACAATACACAACTTTATTGTACATCAGTCCTTGAACTGATAATACAATCTCATCATTCAATGGTACCCTAGTCCTTTCACTAGTCATATCATCTTCACACTCAATTTCATTTTACTCTCATGCATGTATCTACACTTCATGTAATTACCTATCGATTTTCATCACACTAGATGAGTATCCTATAGAAAACATTTCTAAAATTTCATACCTTTACCTATGCTGAGGTTTTCCTCCCCAGTAAAAGGCTCTAATATATAAGTCCGACCTCCTGCTTGAGTCCCATCAATTGCTTGTACACTTACAATCTGAGATATCCTGGTTGGACACACATTAGCAAAGTGGCCTAATTTGTCACATTTGAAACACGTGTTTGTAGTAAACCAACAAGTACCCCCATGGTGTTTCCCACAAGTGTCACATTTAGGGAATGTGAATTCATTTCTGTCAATATTACCATTTCTCTTGAACTCATCACCAGATTGCTTCACCCGTAAACCTTTATCCTTATTATTTTTCAATTTAACATCAGTACCATTGGTCCTCTTGACCTCAGTATCACCAAAAGTAGAAGATTTCAGATATCTACTATAAACAGTCTCTACCCGTTTACACTGGGTAATCAGATCAGCAAAATTCCTCACGGCTGTATTAGACATACGCTTTGCAATCTTCTCATTAAGTCCCCTCTGAAACTTAGCAGATAAGAATTCCGAGGTAGGCAGAGTCCCACCATAATTAGCAAACTTGACTAGTTCATTAAACTTTGCAGTATATTCATCAATAGATAAAGAGCCTTGGACCAGACAATCAAATTCACCCTGCTTGGCTTCCCTAGCATCCCTAGGAAAGTATTGCTCATGAAACAAATTCTCAAATAGGTCCCAAGTAAGTTCTTGCCCTTGTATCACAAAAGGCCTAGAAACGTCGTACCACCACTCATGGGCATCTACCTCCAGCATATAAACAGAGTACCGAAACTTCTGAGGGTCATGAAATCTCATAACTTGGAAAATTTTATCCATACCTTGCAACCAAGTAGTGACCACTTTTGGGTCTTTAGACCCCAGAAAAGTAGGAGACTTATGTTTACGAAAGGAAATAAGTCTCCTCTCCTCAATAACACCCTCGTCATACTGTTCATCAATAATAGATGGCTCAACAAACATAGTAGGTTGACTAGCCTCACCAGTGTGATGACTAGCTCCACTCTCCCTATGCTGGGGAGTAACAGATGGCGTAGGTATAGGAGTCACCGTAGCCGTATGAGGAGGAGAATCATCCCTCCTATGCTGAGCTCTCTCAGCCCTCATCTCAGTCATGAAGGCATGCAACATGTCCTGATTATTCTTCATCAGGTTCTCTGTCATTGTTCTATTAGCAACCGTCTCTGCCTGCAGAGCATTCAGAACTGCAGTAACCGGATCAGGCGGTGGAGGATCTGTACCTCGCGTCCCACGGCCACCACGAATCCCCATCATGATAACTGTAGATGTAACACAAAGGAATGAGCTGATCAGACCCACACTGAGGAATCACATATACATTAATTATGAAGAGTTTACAGATAGCTATGCAACACAATATACAGTCATACATAATCAGAGTTCCCTAGTAAACTACTCTGATACCACTTGTACAAATTTGGGAAATGTTGGAAAAACAAAGGAAACTCTGGTGAATTTTCTGGAAATTGGCCGTTTTTAGGCGAACTTTGGAAGAACATATCTCCCTCCATAGAGGTCTGTTAGGGAAGTTCCATATGCCATTTTAAATCTTGAGATGTCCCCTACGTGGTGTTAAAATATGAGAATTTTCTGGGTTGTATACAGCCCTGTAGAAGACTGTTAACACGGACTGTCCAGAACGCTCCTGTGCAGGGGCTGTTTCTGGCAGTTTTTGGGAATTTTATTCCCGCTTCATTTCTCAGTAAAATTCAGCGTGTCATATATCAAATTGAAGTTTGAGGTGTCTAGTTAGTTGTATAAAAATTTGAGAGCAATTGGATGAGTGGATTTGCTGCAGTAATTTGTGGAGTGAGAGACGTTTGGAGCTGTTTTTGGGTTGGTTGACAGTTTTGCTTGTCCAACTTCAAACGGCGATATCCGGAGCAAACGAGATCGAAATGACTCGTGTGATGGCTCATTGGAAGGTATTTAAGTAAGAAAAAAATAGCTAAAAATGAAGGACTGGTTTTGTGCGGTGTGTCCGCAGAAAAATAATAACCGAACCATATTCGGAAGGGTAGAAAACGTAAAAGTGAGAATTATACTAAGTGGGTTTATGGGAACCCCTTAGTGACTTGTAATAAGTAAAATAAGTTATAAAAGTAGTTTAAATAAGTATTCCGCAAGATTTTACAGTTACGGTCACAACTTTTAATTATTACGCTTTTTATTGTTTTAAATACTCGCGTAATAACGAAAAAAGCTGAAAAGTCTCGTGTTAGTGTGTGGGGACAGTCGTTGATCCTTGCAAGTTGCCAGACGTTACAATATGTATTAAATATATATTATATTATATATATTAAAAATATTATTTAATATCAAAACGTGTCCCAACGTGTCGAAATATGACATTTTTTAGAATTAACGTGTCAACGTATCGTGTCGTGTCCCGTGTCAGTGTCCGTGCATCATAGGGTACAACAATACGAGAGAAAATATGGTGCTCCCCTCTCTCTTAAATGGAGAAATTTTTATACCATTTAAACCATCATTTTTCTCTTTAATTCCCTTTACGTCCCAATTTAAGAAAGAGGAAAGCACCGAATTTTGATACTCTTGGAGCACCAAAATTTCTGTCCAACAGTAGAGGTGGGAAAACAATAAACAATGGGTATTAATTGGGACCATTATGTTTTACCTTCTAAACTCTAATACTTTTTGACACCATTGTTTTAGAGTTTATAAAGTAGAAAATTGTATCTTCTTGCGTAACATTATGTATAGTTTCTCCTTTTATTTTATTGATGTAACTTGCATATATTTTTCTATTAAATTATGATAATTGTTAATGTTCTGTCCAAGGGATAGAGATGTCTAGTCAAGATTTAAACTAGTATATTGATCTTGGATCAAGAGGCTCTCTCAGATATCTATGGATCAGATACATTCGAGTTTAGCAGATCATATTGTGCATTGATAATAACAGTGTTATCCAAAGAGGTTGTGTGTGTGTGCACAGTGACAGTATATCAATAATAGAAAAATAGAGTAATCATACATACAGACTTTACCTCTTATTTATAGAGTTTACTTGTGGGTAGTAGAATTCTAGATCTTGGGTAACTCTTCTGAGGACTCATGTCCAGGTTCGTTGCTTTCGTATTAGGATTAACATCCTTGATTGATGCTTTCCTTTATTTGTAGAGTAAATACCTTTTTCGGTCCTCAGCAAATTTCACGATGCCTGCTTTAGTCCCTAGCAAATAAAAAGACTATTCGTAGTCCCTAAGAAATTCAAAATGGACCCATTTTAGTCTTTTTGAAGGACTAATGTGGGTCTTTTTTAAATTTGTAAGGGGCCACGATTTCAACTAAATGAATCTATTTTGAATTTATTAGGGACCATGAATAGCCATTTTATTTGCTAGGGACTAAAGCGGGCATTGTGAAATTTGCTGAGGACCAAAAATGGTATTTACTCTTATTTGTATTAGTTTCCTCTTTGTGTTGCCTTTCATTGGGCCTCCTAGAATAAAAGCCTCTTATATGGGTCCATAATAGTTAATAGAGTAAAGCCCATTTTGAGTTCCTAACAAAAAAATACGGTTCCCACTTTTGTCCGTTGCAAAAAAAAAATACCCATATTTGTCCTTTTTTAAGGACTAAATTGGATCTTCATTGAATTTATTAGAGATCACATTTTCAAAGAACTAGAATTGTAAAAGGACTAAAAATTGACTTTTTTTTTGTAAGGGATGAAAGTGGAGATCCTATTTTGGTAAAGTGATATCCTCTTCTATTGGTAAAATGTTGATTACTATCTTGGTAAAGTTAGCAATTGCTTACACACTAACAAGAATATATAGTCTTTAAAACACAAAAGACAACTACACAAGATCTTATTATTTGTGCAAGTTAAACTAATCTTAGTGGTACAAGTTTGCTGTAAACTATGATTCTTTTGTGAAATTGGATCTATTTGAATATAATCTTTCTTACTGTTATGAATTAATTATGTAATTTGATCTATGCATGTTAAGTATTGTTTGTCAAGCAGTGCAATATCCAGCTTGAAGGTAAAGGTACAAAATCCTTATATTCACCATTCATATAGGACAACATAAATCATTTAGGCATAAAGGGTCCTATTTTGCAATTTCTAAATTTTAGTATACATACCTATTTGTATATGGAAATCTAAACTAAGAAAAATAGTTGATTATCTAGTAAATTTGGTTAGCTCTTGAATAGAAACTTGTTTTGAATCCAAATCTTCTTTGGACTTATCAAATATTAAAGTCAATTGACCAAAAAATTTAAAAATCCTAGAACACTTATTCACCCTCGCCTTTAGGTATTGATCATCTTCTGCAAGAAGCCAGTTACCCAACAATACTTGTTGTTTGTGACATGTTTGGGTCTTTAATATTGAAATTAGAAACATCAAAAGGTGTGTCATATATCAAATCCTATTGGTCTGACTCTTTAGGATCTTTATTTACACCAAGCATTTCTCCTTCCATTGTAGTAGCCATATTAATCACGCGATCAAGTTCTGCTTCAATAAACTTGTACGTGTGTTATGATCTTTTAGCCAAATCATTATACTGGTTAAATTGACGTTGTACATGCATACTTCTCAAAACATCTTAGTCAAAATACAAACTATCTAATGCTGAAGCAGTACCTCATTAGCTAAACAGAAAGAAAGACTGAACACAAGGATTGAGAGAAAAAACTATTTCTCTTTTCTTAATTTTATTTAACCAAATAACAATAGGGTTCTCCAAGTCTTAAATAGGCAAAACATAAAAAAATGAAAATAAAATCAAATAGATTCAAAAGGAATCATGCGCAATCAAACAAAATAACACATAATCAACGCATACTCAAACATAATCAATCATCCTGCCATGCTAAGAAAAGATTCGCCCTCAAATCTGCTTCATCGTTATTGATATCAACTTCTTAAAGTGATAATCTATGTGGCAACTCTTCTAGTACAATATCACCAAATTTCCTAATTAAAGCTAGAACTTGTGAATGTAATTCTTTTATATGATTCATATGTTCATCTATTTTTGAACTAAACTACTTGGGAACTAGAAATGATGCGAGTTCTAAGGGAGTAAGTAGACAAAACTCATAGCATATCCCAAAAAGACTATTGCTTGTAGTTTGGTTTAGTGATTGCATCTGTGATTCGTCGTAGGAAAATTCTGCCTGAGGTAATATCAAGTCTGATTGCCCTTGACAATCTCTAATCAAACATCTACCAAAATCTAAATTGTTATCTCTGTAGAGCACGAGGTTGCCATGTCCGTTGTGCCCAAGTTCATAATTTTGCTCGCAAACTAAAGATTTCTTGAATGAAGGATCATTCCCCATGACATCTTTGGATATAACTTCAGCTTTGTCAGAGATATTAGAATTCCTTGTAAATGACTTTACACTAAAATCAATATAAAAGATTTCTTCCTCCTCTGGATTCTCATCGTCTTGCTCCCTATCATATTTATCATAGATAAGAAATTTGTCATAGACTAGAGCTTCAACAATTAGATTCTCATTATCTTGCTCTCCTTTAGATTCATCATAGATAGGGACCTCGTCATAGAGTGGATACTCATGGTTCTTCTTTTTGTCAGATTCGTTATAGACAAGGATATAATCATAGATTGGAGCTTCAATACGTATCATAATTTGCTGATTTGGACAGTTTGTGTTAGTTGCTGAGCTCAATAACTCCCTCTGTCAGAAAATCTAGGTTAGAATTTTGAAGTACCTCCATTTCTCTTACATTGTCCATCTACCTTCGAAGCCAATCAACATAGGTCCTTATATGACCAATACTGGTGCAGGTATACGACATCTGTGATCTCAGTTTGCAATCCTCTGAGGTAATGCACAATCAATTGTTCCTCCTTCTCTATGATATCATATCATATCCATAGATAATCATATTTAGCGGTAAACTATTTAACTGAAAGGGCTCGCTACTTAAGATTGTGGTACTCAATAAATGCCTCCTGCCGGTAGTGAATATGTAAGAATTTTTGTTGCAATAGTTTCTTCATTTTATTCCAACTCTTGATCTTCGATTTCCTTTCTCTAGTTCGTTGTTTCTTAATATGTTCCCACCAAATTGAGGCATGTTTCCTCAATTTAATAGCAACCCATTTGACCTTCTGGTCTTCTATTAAGTTTTTGATGTCAAAGACCTTTCCGATGGTGTATAACCAATCGATAAACTCATTTGGATAAGTGGAGCCCTTGAATTCCCGCATCTCAATCTTCATCTCAATATTGGA